AGGATCTGGGGGGTCCCGGGCTGGGGTGGAGGGGCCAGGGCTGAGGGAGGGGCCGGAGAGTGCCAGGGTGGAGGGGAGGGGGGAGGGACTGGGGGGTCCCAGGGGATATGGGGGGGGTGTCTCGGGGTGGTGGGGGTCTGGGCGAGTCCCAAGGGGGAGGATCTGGGGGCTGAGGGGGCATCCAGGGGGGGAGGAACGTGGGTTCCCAGGGATACGGGAGGGTCCCGGGGTGGGGTCCAAGGGCGGTGGAGGAGAGAGGTGCTAGGGGAGCCCGGGGGGAGGGACCGGAGACTGAGTGGGGCACAGGCAGAGAAGATGGCCGTTGGGGACAGTCGGAGGCTCGGGGATGCAGAGCGCAGAGTCCAGGGGCAGGTCACTGACTGATCGCTCGGAGGTTTGTGTCACTGTTTGGTTCTGGTTTTATCGCTTTCCAGCCAAGAATCGTGCCTCCTCTCCGGGCCCCCGAGCTGGGAGTGCAGACGGAGCTGCACCGAGACGCCCCGCTCGGCCGCTCCCTTGTTTGATCTTTAGCTGCCTTTTACCTTGGTCGCCCAGCAAGGGCTCAAAGCCCTTTTCCTCTGGGTGCTTCGCACACGACGACGTCCCTGCCTGCCTCACCAGAGAGCGGCCGGGGGCTGAGCCTCCGCGCCGGGCGAGCGTGGGAGCCCAGGGAATCCGTGGGGGAGCCGAGTGCACTGCCCTGCGGTGCCCAGGCCGTGCCTGTGCAGGAGGGAGAGATCTGAGTGGGGCACGCGGGGCTGCCAAGCACTGAAGGGGGGCAGGGAGCAAAGCCCCAGGGGTGTCAGATCCCCCGCCCCGTGCTCGCAAGCGTGGTAGAGAAGGGTCACACCGCTCCGTGTCTGTCAGGGCGTGACTGAGGAGCCCTGTATAACGGTGCTGCCCGTGGGAGCCAGCTCAGGTCACTCGATCCGGGTGAACTGCAAACAGACCGGGGCAGAGAAACCCCAAACGCTGGTGGATATTCCAATACTTAGATTTACCAACCAGCACAAAACAGCTTCTATACGACCTCCCTGGTTACTCAGAAGGGCAAACAACGCAGTTCCCTTAAAGTGCCCAGCCTCAGGCCTCCGTCCAGACACACCTGTCCGATATGATGATGATTACTGAGAATCTTATCTCGTCATATAAAAGAAAAGGTTCTTCCAACCCCAAAGGATCAGCCACACACCCAGGTCCAATTATCTTACCCAAATACACGCTATAGTCAATTCTTATTAACTAAGCGAAAATGTATTTAAAAAGAAAAGAGAGAGAGTGTTGGTTAAAAGCAGGGCCGGCTCTAGGTTTTTTGCTGCCCCAAGCAAAAAAATTTTGGCTGCCCCCGTCCCAGCCCTGGGCTCCTCGCCGCACGCCCCCCCCGCCCCGCCCCGCCCCCTCTGTCACGGAGTATTGGGGGACTCAGGGCCCTGCACCCCCGGCTTCCTGCGATTCACCATGACTCTCAGCCAGCCAGTAAAGCAGAAGGTTTATTTGGATGACAGGAATACAGTCCAAGACAGGTCTTGCAGGCACAGACAACAGGACCCCCTCAGTTAGGTCCAGCTTGGGGTCCCAGGGCATCCCAGCCCACCCCCCGTTTGGGGGGTCAGAGCCATCTCTGCCTGCCTGCCATCTCTCCAGCCCGCTTCCCACACTCTGCCTTCAGCCACCCCTCCCACAGCCTTTGTTCAGTTTCCCGGGCCAGGGTGTCACCTGGCCTCCAACCCCTTCC